TTAAAAAGACAAATAGCAAATGTATAAAAGCTGATGGAGTGAGAGGCTTTCATTGCAGGGAGAAGTGGCATTTGGTCAAGCTTGTAAACCCACCTATTTGTTAGCTCTCTCTAAGCTCACTCCATGTTTCAAGAGTTTTCCTTTTCTGAGATGCAAACAAATAACCTACACAAAAAGCAGCCCTGAAGTCCCCCAAGGCCTGTGTCCAACAAGGTTCTTATTAATCATTTTTAGTCTGTATCATAGACAACAGTGGCATTTATGCCAGCAAACCTCCAGCTCTGCACACCAGAGCTTGCTGTTTACAGGTGTCAGCTCTTTCTGTGTAAACAGAATAGCTTAATGCCATTCTTTTTATTTTTTTTTTAAAGATTGATTTATTTATTTGAAAGGCAGAGGCAGAGAGAGAAAAAGGTCTTCTATCTGTGGTTCACTCCCCAAATTACTGCAATGGCCATAACTGGCCAATCCAAAGCCATGAGCTTTTTCCAGGTCTCCCACGAGGGTTCAGGGGCCCAAGGACTTGGGCCATCTTCCACTGCTTTCCCAGGCCATAGAGAGAGCTGGATTGGAAGTGGAGCAGCCAGGACACAAATTGGCAGCTATATGGGATGCCAGCACTGCAGGCGGCGGCTTTACCTGCCACAGTGCCAGCCCCTTAATGCCATTCTTGATAACATACATTCAGCTGTGTATCAGGAACCATTTGTAAAAAGGGCTACAGATCAGATTTAATATTTAGGTAGTAGGGCAAACCTGTGCCTTAAATAGCAGAAGTGGATTATCCAGATTTGGTACTTTTGTGGCACTTTGAGTACATAGAGGCAAAGATGAACTCTGTGGTAACATAGGTCTCCCTGCCAGAGTAGGGTCAACTCAGGCAAATATGCCAAAGAGCATATCAAATCACTATATATCAATCACTATCACTATCAAAAGTACCCAGTTGTACCAATTGTGGTTATCCTCTAAAATAAGGAAAAATCACACTTTTTCAGAGTAGCAAAAGGTTCTCCTGGTTTCTGAGTCTTCTCCCAGTGTCTCTGAGCTTCAAACTTGGTTATAATACTTATTACCCCACCCCTTTTTTCCCTCATATCCAGTGTATCAGGAAATTTCAGTTGGATCTGCCTTGAGATTATCCACTGAATCTCAATTGTTAGTATTTTAATTGACCTCCCTTTTCCATTCATTTCTGCTATGATCTGTTCTCCATACAGCAGTGGTCCTTTTAAAAGATGTCAGATTGTGGGGCTGGCACTGTAGCATAGCAGGTAAAGCTGCAGCCTGCTGCGCCAGCATCCACGTGGGCTTCAGTTTGAGTCCCAGCTGCTCCACTTCCATTCCAACTTCCTGCTAATGTGCCTGGGAAAGCAGTAGAAGGTGATCCAAGTCCTTGGGCTGCTGCACACACATGGGAGACCCAGAAGAAGCTCCTGGCTCCTGGCTCCTGGCTCCTGGCTCCTGGCTCCTGGCTCTTGGCTCCTGGCTTCAGTCTAGCCCATCCCTGGCTGTTGCAGCCATTTGAGGAGTGAACCAGTGGATGGAAAATCTCTCTCTGTCTCTCTTTTCCTGTAACTCTGAATTTCAAATAAAATAAATCTTTTGAAAAAAAAAAAAAAAGTCAGATTGTGTCACTCTCAGGCTTCTTGGTGCTTCTCTCTGTAGTGTGTGTGTGTGTGTGTGTGTGTGTGTGTTTCTCCCACACCCCTACCACCCAAGCTTCTTACTCTTGAGACTTCTCTCCAGCAGGGTAGCCTGAATTTCCTACATCATGGTTCAAGGCTGTAAGAAGGAATAAACAGAACCTGTTTGGGTCTTAGAATCCCATAATGTGACCTCCACATTCTGTTGGTCAAAGTCCATATTCACAGCATAGGACATAAACCCTACCCCTTGATGGGATGAACAGCATTAGGGCTAGAATTGTTTGGGGGACAATCTTTGGAAATTGGCTACCTGTGCTGGTGTGATACATCTTGGGCTACTTCTGCAGCCTTATTTTTGTTTGCTCTCTCCATTCCAGTCACACCAGGCCTTCTTGTTCTTTGAGCATGCCAGACAGACTGCCTCCCTGGACCTTTGCCCTCACAGCTCCTGCTGCCTAGGCTGTTCCTCCCCATGTGGCAGAGTGCTGAGTCCTCTCCTGTTTCTTTCCTGGCTCCATTCGACTGTTAGCTCTTGAGGGAAACTGTTACCACTTAGACTTAAATAACTATATTAGACTTCTAAAATTACTGTGTAACAAATTGTCACAAGCATAGCAGGTTAAAAAAAATACCCATTTACTAGCTTCTAGTTCTGTAGCTCCAAAGTCTGGTACAGTGTGACTGGTTCTCTGCTCAAGGTGTCATCGGGCTGGAATCAGTCAAGGTGCTCTGGGGGAAATCCTTCTGTTGGCAGAATTCAGTCCTTTCCCATTGTAGGACCGAGGTCCCCGTCCCCTTGCTGTCTACCTGCTGGAGGCTACTTTTACCTCCTACGGGCTGACCACATTCCTTGGCCTCCTTCCTCTTCTGCAACCAGGGATAAAAATTCTTTTTTAAAAAAATTTTTTAAAGATTTATTTATTTGAAAAGCAGAGTTACAGAGAGACACAGATTCACTCCCCAAATGGCCACATGGCCAGGGTTGGGCCAGGCTGGAGCCAGGAGCCAGGAGCTTCCTCCAGGTTTCCCACGTGCATGCAGCGGCCCAAGCACTTGGGCCATCTTCCGCTGCTTTCTTAGGTGCATCAGTAGGGAGCTGATTTGGAAGTGGAGCAGCTGGGACCCAAACAGGTGCCCATGTGGGATGCTGCCACGGCAGATGGTGGCTTAACTTGCTACATCACATCGCTGGCCTTGCAAATTCTACTGTTAAAAGCCTTGTGTGATTGGGTTGACTCTCCTGAGTAATCTCTATCGTAAGCTGATTTGGGTCCTAATTTTAATCACAGCAGTACCTACCTTAAGGTTTGGTTGGTTGAGTGAGAGAAGGTATATGTTCCCCAAGGCTGTGAATTTGTCTACAGTAACATTTGCTTTTTCTGCTGTCCTCGTTATCAGAAATGTTCTTCACAGCACTGTCTACATTGTATTTTTACTTTCCAAAACTTTATTTATTGTTTTAGAGGCAGAGAGAAGAAAGGACAGAACTCTCATTTGCTGGTTCACTCCTTATTTTTTTTTTTTTTTTTTTTTTTTTTTTTTTACAGGCAGAGTAGACAGTGAGAGAGAGAGAGACAGAGAGAAAGGTCTTCCTTTGCCGTTGGTTCACCCTCCAAGCACCTGGGCCATCCTCCACTGCACTCCCTGGCCACAGTAAAGAGCTGGCCTGGAAGAGGGGCAACCGGGACAGAATCCGGCGCCCCGACCGGGACTAGAACCCGGTGTGCCGGCGCCGCTAGGCGGAGGATTAGCCTAGTGAGCCGCGGCGCCGGCTGCTGGTTCACCCCTTAAATGCCTGCAATAACTGGGGGCTAGCCCAGGGCTGAAGCTAGGGATCCAGGAACACAATCCAGGTCTCCCTTATGGTGGCCAAGAATCCAATTACTTGAGCCATCACAACTGCGTCCCAGAGTTAGCATTAACAGGAAACTGAAATCAGGAGCTAAAGTCAGGAATGGAACCTAGACACTCCAGTGTAGGAGACAGGCATCTTAACTCCTAGGCCAAATGTCATCTCCCCGTATTTGCTTAGGTTTTTTAATGTGCCCCTTGTGCTAGAATATATGTTGTAATGATAGACTGTCATTTTTGTTTGTTGTTATATTTCTGGCACCAAGGACAGTGTTTGACACTTTGTACATACTCATAAACAATGAATAAATTATTTTTAAAAAGTATTTATTGATTTGAAAGAGTTACACAGAGGAAGAGACAGAGATCTTCCATCCACTGGCTCACTAGCCAAATGGCCACAACAGCTGGGGCTGGGCCAGGCCAAAGCCAGGAGCCAGGAGCTTCTTCGGGGCTCCCATGTGAGTTTGGGGCCCAAGCAATTGAGCCATCTCCTGCTGCTATCAGCAGGAGATCAGTAGGGAGCTGGATCGGAAGTGGAGCAGACGGGAACTGAAACAGCACCCGTATGGGATGCCAGCAGCAGCTTTACCTGCTTCATCACAACTCCAGCCCCACAATGAATAAATTAACAGTTTCATGGCATATAATTTGTTGACTGTGGAGATATGATCTGGGGAAGAAAAAAAGTAGAAGTACCACAGTGTCTGAAAATATTCCTTGACCTTTCTTTCTGTGGAGGACATCTTATTTGACTATTAAAAACAAGGTTTTGAGAAAGTAATTGTCTAAACGTCCTGTCACTGATCATATGCAAGGAAAGTAAAATCACTCTTCGGCTTGCTAGGACTGAGAAAATGTTTTCAGCTTTCAGTTTTCATCTGTGTACCTCCAGATAGTAACGTCTCGCTGTGAACTTCTGGAAATGACTTAGTCTTCAGCAGCATTTCTGGCTTACCAGTGTACCTCAGTATCTCTGTAGTTGCTGTTCACAAATGTGTAATCACTAACAGAGTGAGAGTGGGCACAGTCAGGTAGATAGCCGGCCCAGCGTTGTGGCCCAGTGGGTTAAGCCACCACTGCATTAACTGGCATACCATAGGGGCATCAGCTCAAGGGCCCACTAATCCAATTCTGACCCAACTCCCCCTATCGCTCCTAGGAAAGCAGCAGAAGATGGCCCATGTGCTTGGGCCCCTGCCACCCAAGTAGAAGTAAGAGAACAGGAAGGGGTTCCTGGCTTCCGCCTTGGACTTGCCCAGCCCTGGCCACTGCAGCCATTTGGGGAGTGATCCAACAGATGGAAAATATTTCTCCCTCTCTCGCTCACCCCGCACCCTTTTCTGTCTCTCCCTCTTTGTAATTTTGCCTTTCAAATAAATAAATAAATCTTTTTAAAAAATCATATAGACATAACATAGCATGCCACAACTTAAAATTAAATGTTTCCCTCATTTTCCATACTTACCTTATGTTTCTTTTCATCTCCCTTTTCCACAGACAAAACTTGCCAATGGCACTTCCAGTATGATTGTGCCCAAGCAACGGAAACTCTCAGCAAGCTATGAGAAGGAAAAGGAACTCTGTGTCAAGTATTTTGAGCAGTGGTCAGAATCTGATCAAGTGGAGTTTGTGGAACATCTGATATCCCAAATGTGTCATTACCAGCATGGGCACATAAACTCATATCTTAAACCTATGTTGCAGAGAGATTTTATAACTGCTTTGCCAGGTATGTGTGTGTGTGTGTGTGTGTGTGTGTGTATTTGGGCTTTTTGTTTGTTACTTTGTGTATGTATGTGTGTTTGTAAACTATTAATTTGTTACAATGATGGTGGAGCTGAATCTTTTGCTATACATCTCTGTTTTTTGTGAAAGCCACTTTTTAATTTTTTGGAGGCAAAAGGAGAGACAGGGCTCCCATCAACTGCTATACTCCACAAATGCCCACAACAACTGGGGCTGTGCCAGGCCAAAGTTTGGAACCAGGAACTCAATCCATGTCTGCCATATGGATGGCAAGAACCTGGCTAGATGAGTCGTCATGGCTGCCTCCCCGGGTCTGCATCAGCAAGAACTGGAGTCAGGAGCAGAGCTAGAATGTGAACGGAAGCACTTTTATATGGGACATAGGCATCTTAATTGGTAGGCCAAACACCTGCCCCCTCATCTCTCTCTCTCTCTCTCTCTTTTTTTTTTTTTTTTTTTTGGTCTTAATTTTATAAGTTTAGTTGTTTAATTGTATCTTCTTGAAATTAAAAATAAAAAATCAAGCTCTTAAAATAGACTCTTCTTTACCCTGTCTTTCTTACCTCGTGCCCTTATGTTCACCTTCTTTTTACCCTTACATGGGACTGCATAAAACTTTTTATAAGGTGTCACCCTTTAGAGGTTTGTCTTTTATAATGTGACTTAGTTTCAAGATTATGTTAATTTATATTCTTAGAAGGCTCTGTTTAGGGGCTGGTGCTATGGCACAGTAGGCTAAGCCTCTGCCTTGGCACTGGCATCTCATATGGGCGTCAGTTCATGTCCTGGCTGCGCCTCTTACAATCCAGCTCCCTGCTATGGCCTGGGAAAGCAGTAGAAGATGGCCCAAGGTCTTGGGCCCCTGGACCCATGTGGAAGACCCAGGAGAAACTCTTGGCTCCTGGCTTCAGACCAGCCCAGTTCCGGCCATTGTGGCCATTTGGGGAGTGAAGCAGAAGATGGAAGATCTCTCTGTATCTCCTTCTCTCTGTAAATCTGCCTTTCAAATAAATAAATATTAAAAAAAAAAAAAAAAGGCAGCGGCTCTATATAAATGATACTTAAATACTTTTCTGGGATTTTTCTTAATGCTTACTGGTATTCTAGAACACTACAAAGTTACCAGTATTTGGAGGGAAAGTTTTTGTAGGAAAATAAAAGATTCTCTTATGTGTTAAAGAGTATAAACTATTGGCCGGCTCCGCGGCTCACTTGGCTAATTCTCCGCCTGCGGCACCGGCACCCCGGGTTCTAGTCCCGGTTGGGGCGCCGGATTCTGTCCCAGTTGCTCCTCTTCCAGTCCAGCTCTCTGCTGTGGCCCGGGAAGGCAGTGGAGGTTGGCCCAAGTGCTTGGGCCCTGCACCCGCATGGGAGACCAGGAGGAAGCACCTGACTCTTGGCTTCCGATCAGGGCAGCGTGCGGGCCGTAGCAGCCATTTAGGGGGTGAACCAAAGGAAAAGGAAGACCTCTCTCTCTGTCTCTGTCTCTCTCACTGTCTAACTCTGCCTGTCCAAAAAAAAAAAAAAAAAAAAGAGTATAAACTGTAAAAATAAGAGTATAAACTATAAAAATAACATGTCCCAGAATCCAGCCATTCAGAGAGAACTACTATTAAGTCTTCCAAAAGGGCTGGCACTGTGGTGTAGCAGGTAAAGTCGCTGCCTGCAGTGCCGGCATCCCAATTGGGTGCTGGTTCAAGTCCCAGCTGCTCCACTTCCAATCCAACTTTCTGCTATGGCCGGAAAGCAGTGGAACATGGCTCAGGTGCTTGGGCTCCTGAACCCTCGTAGATCTTTAAAAAAAAAAAAAAAAATGTTTTGCACTTGTGCCATCCTCCACTGCTTTCCCAGGCCATAGTAGAGAACTGGATCGGAAGAGGAGCAGCCAGGACTCGAACCGGCACCATATGGGGTGCTGGCACTGCAGGAGGCGGCTTTACCCGCTACTCCACAGCACTGGCTCCCCAGAAAATAGCCACTTCTTAAAGCCGAATTTTATCTGTATCTTTTATTAAATAGATTTTTGCCCCCTCTTCACTCACTGGCTTTTGTTTTAGCCACAGGCGAGTAGTTTTCTTTGTACAGTCTGTGTGTACTTCATTACTGTGTTTTCCCCAGTCACTGAGACATACTACTATCTCAAGCTTACACTACTAAGAATTGAACAGGAGTTGATGAGACCTGCGTATTCTTTGTTCCATACTGATCCCCACAATGTGTCTGCTGACCACTCGGTGAGGTATTAAATCATCAGTTTAATGCTTTATGGACATTTAAACTTAGAAACCTACACCATCTGGCTACGTTTAGTAAACCATCTACTTCAGAAATGCCTCTAATCCATTAATGTAATGGTTTTGTTTGGAGTGTTTGGTGAAATTACTTCCCAAGACTTATGGGTACGTAGTAAGTGATCAGGAGCAACTTGATGTCAGCTACTAAAACACAGGAAGGCGTTTTGGCAACTTGTGACGACGGAGAAACTTCCAGTGTAAAGATTCAGGAATTGTGCCATCACTGGATTTTACATGATGTATTTTATAAGTCCTGTGTCTGTAATTGGCTTATCATCATGTTTCTTTAATAAGAATTAGGTGATGGATGCCTCCATCTGCTTATGCTTAAATATGAACATGTGATGCCAGCCAAACAAGATCCGTTTAATGCCTTCTTTCCCAAGTCTGCTAGAAGATGTGACTGATATCCATACAATCTTTATAATTAGAAAAATGTTTAAGCATATTTGGATTGTTGCTAATCACATCAAAGTGTGTCTGTATAATTTGGGGAAAGGCACAAAAATGAAATGTGGTGCTCTCCTGTTTGTTAAATTTATGTCTACTGGAGTCAGGGCATAATGGAATCCTTCTGAACTATTTAAGTCTTTGTAATATATAACCTGTAAAGAGAAATAGCCTTCATTGTTTTTGACTCGTTTTTGAACTTAGAACAGAAGCCCAAAGATTTTTTTAGTGCGATCATCCTGTCGTGTAGGAGCTTTTCCACTGGGACCCCAGTGCAGATTTGAGTGGCTGTCAGGTTTACCCAAGCCAAGATCTACTCTTTACTCTTTTCCTCTGCACATCCTGCAGAATATCCTCTGAGATGCTTACCAAGTTGTCTATTGGTCTGGATTTTTTTTTCCACTTTTGGTCAACTGTCATTTAGGTTTTATAGCAGCAGCTATTCTCACACAGCTTTTTTTTTTTTTTTTTCTTTTTTGAAACATCTGAAATGAAGCATACCTCACTTTCTTTCCTCTTGGGGTATTCCTATACCATTCTGTATTTCCTTCTTCTCCTCCTTTCTGCATGCCCCAAATTCTATAACCCAGCACATTCTGCCTTAGTGTTTCTCCCCCAGTACATTTAAAGGATATTTCTTCTACTGAATAGCTTTGGAATTGCAGCAGTAATAGAAACAGAATGAGAAATGGACCTAATATAGAGATTTGGGGGGGTCTGAATCAGAGTTTGAGATGCCATCCATAGAACATCCCCTAGTGCTGAAATCCATATAGATAGATGTGAATTGTTTTCTGGAATCCTTTTTATTTTTAATGTCTTGGAGGGGTTGCTGGTTGTTAGCTTTAACTTCCTTATCTAAAGGAAGATGGAAAATACTGTTCATTTCTGTAACCTTATGGAAAAATTATTGACACTCATTTTACCCAAGCCTCTGTTTGAAAGAGCAACTGGACTACGCTGGGGACAATGATATGACTTCATAACAGAACAAATGCTATTCTGTTTTAAAGGACCTTTTGTGAAAAATCATTCACTATCCCCTTTATTCTTTCTCTTTGCCTTCTCCCCTCCCCACTGAAAGCACGGGGTTTGGATCATATTGCTGAGAACATTCTGTCATACCTGGATGCCAAATCGTTATGTGCTGCTGAACTTGTGTGCAAGGAATGGTACCGAGTGACGTCTGATGGCATGTTATGGAAGAAACTCATCGAGAGAATGGTCAGGACAGATTCTCTGTGGAGAGGCCTGGCAGAACGAAGAGGGTGGTGAGCCTTTTAACTTGCTTAACAATCAGAGAGTGTTAGGGCCCAGCCGTCTTGCCACTGGAAGGTTGTTGGGAACAGTGAACCAATCACTTACCACTTACTACAGTGATTTTACTGATTTGCAGCTAAAAATAGAAAATAGTTGCTCATGCACTCAGCGGTTTTTCTTCTGACCCGTCACTCATAAAATGACATCACAATGTGTTAATACTGCTTGGCAAAAAATAATAGAACACTGATCAGCCATCCTGTTTCTCTAGGCAGAAATTAGTATCTTGCAGAAGGGCTGATAAGTAATTTATAAGGCAAGCAAATGAGTTTGAATCACATGGAAGCCATCAGATCAAGCTTTCCTCTGTAAAAACCCAGGACAAGTGAGCATTTTGTTTTTTCAGATTTCTTGCCTTTAGCCCATTCCTCCATTTTTTTTACCTTTGTAACAAAAGAGTATATTTTATGTCCAACTAAAATAAGAACTCTAGCTGTCAGAAAGAATAAAAAAATTAGTATAAATCATTATTTCTTCTTAAGATTTGGGTTTTCTCGTGATTTCTTACTTGATTTTGAATTCACTAAGGTATTATACTCATATGCATGGATCTAAAAAAAATTTTTACCAAGATACACTTAACTTTAATTCTGTTTTCTGTAAACTTTGAAGTACCCTCATGTAGTTAGAGCCTAAGAGATTTCACCAGTTTTGTTGTTGTTCTCTTAACCATTCATTAGAACTTCTGGTAACCTCTTTCTTTATATAATTTTCTTCCTAAGTATGTTTCTAGAATGGTACTATATGAAGTCAAGCATGAGTCATTCATTAAGAAAGGTGACATAATAAATGTTTTAGCTGATAGAAAGACTGATAATAGGTATATGCATATTCATTTTTGCCCTTCCAACTTAATTTTTAAGTTGTTTATCTGGATCATAAAGAGATCTAAAACAGTTAAGAATGGAGAATACTTTTTAAAATACGCGCTTTGGATTAGAATTTTCACCAAAATCTAACTATCCCCCTTTTTTTCTGTCTTTGAAATTCATTAACACGTGATATATATATATATATGTGTGTGTGTGTGTGTGTGTGTATGTGTGTATATATACCAACTGCTTCAGAGATTTCAATCATTCTAGCAATTAAAAAGACTTAAAAATTTTCCTCTCAATGAAGGGAATGAAACACCAAACAGATCTTTGTCTATGTAATAATTGTATAAAAAAGATGTGGCATTGTGGCATAGCGGGGGACGCTGCCATCTGTGACACCGTCATCTCATATGGGTGCAGATTTGTATCCTGGCTGCACCATTTCCAATCCAGCTCCCTGCTAATGGCCTGGGAAAAGCAGCAGAAGATGGCCCAAGTGGTTGGGCCCCTGCCACTCATGTGGGAGACCGGAGAATGCTCCTGGCAGACAGCAGATGATGGCCCAAGAACCTGGGTTCTTGCCAACCAAGAGGGAGATCCAGATGGGAGTTCTGGGATCCTGGCTTTAGCTTGGCTCAGCCCTACCATTGTGGCCATCTGGGGAGTGAACCAGCGGATGGAAGACCTCTCTCTCCCCGCCTCCCACTCCCCCCATCTTTCTCTGTAATTTGAACTTTAAAATAAATAATCTTTTTTTAAATTTATTTGAAAGACGGAGTGACCAAGAGTGAGGGGAGGGGATCTTCTGTCCTCAAGTTCACTTCCTGAATGTCTGCAACAGCTAGGGCTGGGCTAGGCTGAAGCCAGGAGCCCAGAACTCCCATCTAGATCTCCCTCATAGAGAACCCAGGTTCTTGGGCCATCATCCGCTGCCTCTCAGGAACATTAGTAGAAAGCTGGATCAGAAGAATAATAGTCAGGTCTTTCCACTGGGATCTCACTCGCGGAGATCCTTCATTTAGGTCTTTTTTTTTTGCCAGAGTTTCTTGGCTTTCCATGCCTGAAATACTCTCATGGGCTTTTCAGCTGGATCACCTAGCACTCTGATATGGAATGCCAGTATCACAAGCTGTGGCTTAACTGTCTGTACCACAACACCCTTCCAGAAAATAAACTCTTAAGGTGTATAACAAAGAAACTAAGTATACAGTTAGGTACAGAAAATAAATGCTTTACATGTATAACAAAGAAACTAAGTATATAGTTAGGTCCAGAAAATAAACTCTTAATGTGTATAATAAAGAAACGAAGTATACAGTTAGGTGACATTCAGAGTCCATTTTGCTTAAGTACCTGCACTAGCCTTAGAAATACAGCAAGGGCCGGCGCTGCGGCTCACTAGGCTAATCCTCCGCCTGCGGCGCCGGCACACCGGGTTCTAGTCCTGGTCGGGGTGCCAGATTCTGTCCCGGTTGCCCCTCTTCCAGGCCAGCTCTTTGCTGTGGCCCGGGAGTGCAGTGGAGGATGGCCCAAGTGCTTGGGCCCTGCACCCCATGGGAGACCAGGATAAGTACCTGGCTCCTGCCATCGGATCAGCGCGGTGCGCCGGCCGCAGCGCGCTAGCCGCGGTGGCCATTGGAGGGTGAACCAACGGCAAAAGGAAGACCTTTCTCTCTGTCTCTCTCTCTCTCTCACTGTCCACTCTGCCTGTCAAAAAAAAAAAAAAAAAAAAAGAAATACAGCAAGCAGTTGCTTCCATGGGAAGACTAGAGCAGCTGGGAAAATTTCTCTGCCCCTCAGAACATCACAAAAAACTGTCTTCCCATTAACTACTGACCTGGAATTCAGTTACAGAGGTTCATCCCCTGGGGTATAAAGGTTTTGTTCCCTGTTAAAATACATTTTGTTCCTATTTGAACAGTAAATGACAGTGAGCTTTCAGTAGACATTGAGAGTTTATGAAGTCTCCTTTTGCAGGCAGGGAGAACAGGAAATGGGCAGTCTTAGCAGATGGCTGTGAAAATGCCAGAAGTAAAAGCAGGCTCCCCAGTTTTGCTTAGGGCTGGCACTAAGCCGAAATCTACAGTAGTTACAGAGAACGCAAAACTAGTATCACTGGAAAGATGACGTTTGGCCTTTGAAAAAAGTGTGTGATAGTCTAGCTAAAAATTATCCAGGGTTCAGCACCAATTGCCACTCTTTCCTGTCTCTTCACAGAAACCCATGCCTGCCTGGTTTCTTCTTTGTCTTTGACCACATTTGTCTTCTTGATTAGGCCCCAATGAAGTTGCAAATGCTTGTTCACCCTGTTAAGACCTCCAGTACTCGCCTGACCTTCTTGTTGCTACTTCCGTTTCTACATGTTGCCTTTTTTCCCTGTTAGTTTTCCTCCTTTACTTTTTAAAAATAATCTGTGATCGGCTTCTCAATTTCTTCTCTGAAGTGGTCTTAGCAAGCCTGCTGCATTGACAAAGCCTTTCTGGTTATACCCTGCCCCATGTGCTGTCTGTGAAAGTGTCTCCCACTTCTTCTAACCAGAAATGAATAAACAGATACAGGGTTTTGTTTTGTTTTTAGAGATTTATTTATTTATTTGGAAACCAGAGTTACAGAGAAAGAGGGAGAGAGGTCTTCCATCTGCTGGTTCACTCCCCAAGTGGCCACAGTGGCTACATCTGGGCCAGTCCAGAGCCAAGAACTTCCTCTGGGTTTGCCACATGGGTGCACTTGGGCCATCCTCCACTGCTTTCCCAGGCACATTAACAGGGAGCTGGATCGGAAGTGGAGCAGCAGGGACTCAAACTGGTACCCATATGGGATTCCAGGATTGCAGGTAGAGGCTTTACCCACCACGCCACAGCACTGGCCCCTGTAGTTTTGTAATAAAGCTTTGGATCACTAAGATTTAGCTTCCACTCTGCCACTGTGTTTGGTTTTATTTCTTGTGATTTTTTTTAAAGACTTATTTATTTATCTATTTGAAAGGCAGAGATAGAAAAGGAGAGAGAGAGAGAGAGAGAGAAAGTATCTTCTACTCACTGGCTCACTCCTCAAATGGCCACAATGGCAGAGCTGGGCCAGGCCAAAGCCAGGAGACAGGAGCTGCTTCTGTGTCCCTGACATGAATACAGGGCCTCAAGTACTTGGGGCCATCTTCTGCTGCTTTCCCAGGTGCATTAGCAGGGAGCTGGATTGGAAGTGGAGAGCAGCGGGGGCTCAAATGTCTGCTGACGCTGCAGGCAGAGGCTTAACCTTCTACAGTACACCACAGGCCCCAGCCACTGTGTTTTATGTCTAGGTGGATTTGATAGTCTGCCCCAGGACATGAACTCTGCTGTTTTCTCTCTTAAATAATACTGGTTCTGTTCTCTTCCCTCAGTAATGGTAACTCTTAAAAGTATAATAAAAGACCACTTGGGAAAAGTCCATTTTTTTAATCAGCAGATCACATTTTATGGTAACATTCTGAATTTAATATTTAACATTTATCATGTACTCACACTCTCATAGGTAGTAGGCATTTCACATAGAAGTGGTCCCAGTTGTCAAAGAGCTTCCACCATAAAAGGTTTTGACTTAAAACAGACTAAGATAAGCCAGTCTTCAACACCTAACCCCCCTTTTTTAGCACCTATGATTTGAAGAAGTTCAAATACTTTAGCAAGGCATGGTAAATACAGTGATCAAGAATGTATATGAGGTCTCTTTACTTAACATACAGAGATAGTGCCATTATTGATGCAGAGGAACCTGGAGTGCCTGGATGTGATTGCCATGGATTAAAAGGAAGAGAAGATCTCAAGAGTAGTGGGCACTGAGAAGCAGAAAGCAGTTCGGGCTCCGGTCTCAGACCTGGACTCAGACCTGGAATGCTCTCATTCTAAGTCTGTTCTTTGCCTGCACAGTGCTTATGAAATAAGATCATTCATAGAAGAGTACCTTCAGTCCAGAACTATTTTATACTGTATCTTATTTGCCCTTTTCTTTATACTGATCTATGATGTTTCATTTAGTCCCCTTTTTAAAAAGTATTTTGGCCTTTCCATTGCAGATTTTCTTTTCTATATTAACATAGAACTCAGAGCCAACTTTCTTCCTGATAGGACATTTCCTCGACTAATATTCAAGGTGTACAATAGGGAGAGGGCAGGAAAGAAGCACTCCTGGAGACATTGAACAATTAATTATATTGTAATGGAGCTATTGAGGGAGGAGTGGATGACTGGCCCAGAGAAAACATGATTTCTCTGGTGCCAGGATTACACTCAGAGGCATTTCTGCCTGTCTGCACTTTGCAAGGCACAGTGCCAGTGAGAACAGCAGTTAGTACACCCATAGTGGGGTTTACTAGCTTCCACACCGTGTTTGGTGGGTCCTTAACTTCAGGATGAGGAATTAAATTTTTTACCCAGCAGGAAGTGATTGCCATTTACTGATTTTTTTTTGTAGCAAAGATCTAGCTTGGGATATGAGTATTCCAGAGATGTGCTGTCATAGGGAAGGAGATGCTAACAAATATTGCTTTTTGGAATCAAGGAAAGGCAGTAAAGTGGATGTGTGTGTGTGCGCATAGCCAGGAGCACACCTGTGAAAGTCAGTTGCCTGCCCCACACCTGACTGACAGCACAGTGTTCTGAGGCATTTCTTTGCATATTTTTTGCTGCCTGGTGCTGGACACTCCTGTGATCCCTTCATTTTCTATTGAAATAAACCAAACCACTCCTCTTAAAGCATGGCTACACTGATCACCAGCAGCTTGGGTGATTGAACAGCCCACACCCCTTACCTCACACAAATGAGAACCTAGAAAAAGTGATATCCATGCAGCGGCATTACTGCCGCACCATGCTGGGCTCTACTGGCACTGGTACCACTTCACTCAAGGGAAAAAGGCTATGGGGCATGTGTTAATTCAAATATAATACTTCCCATCACTAACAAAATTTTCAAAGAATAAGGCCAGTGAATTTGTATAGAAGTTTAATAGACTAATAGGTAAATTCTTATTATACATACTCTGTTGACACAATATTCCTAAAGGCCTAGTGCTGTGATGCGCTCTGCTGGAAATAATCATGTTTTACTCAACAGCAAATCAATGTTGGCCAAATACCATAGAGCCCAGAAAGTTACTTCTTGACATGGGATTCCTGAAATCAGGCTTAACTTCATATTTCTCCCAGCTACTTGGGGAAATATTATAGAATGGTAACTGAAAACACCTTGAAGAAATAATGAAGCTCTTTGCCAGTGTGTAGTATTATGATTTTTCACTGAGAAATATTTATTGTTTTTTAGGGGACAGTATTTATTCAAAAACAAACCTCCTGATGGGAATGCTCCTCCTAACTCTTTTTATAGAGCACTTTATCCTAAAATTATACAAGACATTGAGGTAAGGATCTGTATTTTTTTGGGGTATTTGCCAAATGGTAGAGAGTCATTAGCATTCTTCAAAACGTCATTGTTACACCATTAAAGCTTACTGATAGGTGTTAAAAACCAATATCTTTACAACTGAATAGGTAAGTTGAATATAGTAAGTTGCCAGGCAGATTTTGTGAAACTCTTAAACATTGTTTTCTGGTAGATAAATAAATGAATGAGAGAGACAAATTCCTTCACACAATAGCAGTGAGGGTGTTAAATATGCACTCATTAGCTGGTGTTCAGATGTCTTCTGAATTGAACCTTCATGCAAGTTCATTAGTAGAAACGGCCGCCAGGTGTAAGAGGAACGCTGCACACATAAGCTCACTTCCTTTATAGCTTGCCCTCTCTGGGTGAATAGTTTCTCTCTACCAGATGTATTATTTAACTGAATGAGTTATATACAGGAAAGTTCTAGAAAATGAACTTTAAATTATCTCACAATTGAAAAATGTTTTAGAAGTTTAAATTGTAGCTTTGTAAAATGGCATTTGTAGTTTGCCCTAGGTTTTATGTAGTCCATAGATTGAAACACTCTGGGCCATTGTTGCCATTAAAGTCAGAGGAGTTTGGGTGTGGTCCTTTCCTGCCAACTACCTCTTCACTGTTCCTACCCCGCAGACAATAGAATCTAACTGGAGGTGTGGAAGACATAGCTTACAGAGAATTCACTGCCGAAGTGAAACAAGCAAAGGAGTTTACTGCTTACAGTACGATGATCAGAAAATAGTAAGCGGCCTTCGAGACAACACAATCAAGGTAAAGTCTCTTCAGTTGGTAGGGTAGCTAAGAGAGTGAGAGTCACTACATTCAAAACGCAGCTCAAGCGTCATCTCTTAAGCATTATTTCTAGGAAGTAAGCAGGAATTTTAGATTGTTCACCCTTCACCAAAGGACAGACAACTCCTTTTTGCCTAGGAGAGCGTACAAAGAGTGCTAGGGTTAACTTCTCTTCTTGAAATAAACTGATTAAGCTATTGCTCTTTGAGTCCTCACGTAATTATAGGCTGCCCTGTTACTTAATGAAAAGGATAAAGTTTGCATTAGTGCTGAAGCTACATATGTATAGGTGCTTAACCATACCTATAGAAAAGAATGCATTCCACACTCCTCTGGGCTTTGATTCTTTGGGGGAATCAACCACATAATAGAGCCAACAAGTCTCCACAGCACCCCATTATCACTGTGATCAAAAGGATCTTGTTTGCCATCCTAGATATGGGATAAAAGCACATTGGAATGCAAGCGAATTCTCACGGGCCACACGGGTTCTGTCCTGTGTCTGCAGTATGACGAGAGGGTGATCATAACTGGATCATCGGATTCCACGGTCAGGTAGAAAATTTCAAATGCTCTTTTGAACTCTGAAACCTCAGATCTGCTCTGTTCTTTGTCATGGTTAGTAATTTTGTATGTGTCTGCATGAATGCAGTTCTGAAACTGAAGAATAAACTGTGCGCCCTCCCCAACATGTGTGTCAATCTAAAACTAAAAAATTTGATTTAGAAATGATTAAGCTAAGTTTACATTCTTGCACATCTTAAAAAGCTCAATAGGCTAATCCTCCACCTTGCGGCGCCGGCACACCGGGTTCTAGTCCCGGTTGGGGCGCCGGATTCTGTCCCGGTTGCCCCTCTTCCAGGCCAGCTCTCTGCTATGGCCAGGGAGTGCAGTGGAGGATGGCCCAGGTGCTTGGGCCCTGCACCCCATGGGAGACCAGGAAAAAGCACCTAGATCCTGGCTCCTGCCATCGGATCAGCGCGGTGCGCCGGCTGCAGCGGCGGCCATTGGAGGGTGATCCAACGGCAAAGGAAGACCTTTCTCTCTGTCTCTCTCTCTCTCACTGTCCACTCTGCCTGTCAAAAAAAAAAAAAAAGCTACACATTCTATTTGAATTTGGAGAATCATCCATTATAGAAACCCTTCTTGTCTGTATGGCAAACCTTACATCCCTTAAAAAAACCCACTTCACCAGGGAGTGGCGTGAATGGGATGAAGCTTTCCTTTCTGGTGGCTGTAACTGTGTCACAGGCATGCCTCATCTCCTTTAAGATGTGCGCAGGTGGGCGATGCTCCCCCTCTGCCAGCCCTTCCCCTGCTCTCCCCCCACTTCCGGGGCAGCAGGGGTTCGATGACATAGCCATTGTACTGCTGGAGTCCAGCACAGCTGAGTGCGGGGTACCAGCAGCACTGCTAGAAACCTCTTTTAGGGATTTTGCCTTAAGCTGAAGGATTTAGCAAACACAATGCATCAAAAGTAACTTAAAAAAAATACTAGGAAAAAATGGTTAACAACATTGTTAGATTCTCTAAATGTTTACCATTTCCAGTTATCCTTCGGGAATAGAAAAGGCTGATCCTGTTTCTTTTGACTTGCAGGCATAGTAAACTCAGTCCTCATAGTTTTCTATGCTTAACATTGCTTGTGGAGTGCCTCATGGAGCTTGAGCCATTATAGATGCCAAATCATGTATAGGATAAGAGGAAAAATGATTTTCTAAAAAAGAGGGTTGAACTGGAAAGAAGAGATTAAATGTTATAAAACTGAAATACACAAAAATATGGAAAAACAAACTGAAAAAACCTCGTCACACAAAATTCTCGAGCTATCCAAGGGTCCCATATTTACAATGAAAGGGCTTTTCTTGACCCCTGCCTCTTTCAAAGCTCAGAAATGGGGGCTCAGAGTCTGGGTAATTTTGCCCTTTGGCCTTGTGTGATGAAACCTAAGATCCATGGTAATCAAACCCAAGGTCACATTACTAAGCTGTGGCTGGCCTATGTCGTTAATGTTCATGAAGCTGTTTGTGGGACGAGCACTATCGCTGCTGTTGTTAGCCAGATTTCCTTGTTTAAAACGTATATCATATTAATGGTATCAAGTTGAATGTCAGAAGTTTTTGTTAATCTTGTAGTCAGCCAAATTCTTAGGTGATAGTGGCTGCTACCTCTCTACCTCCCACCACTTGCCTGATGTCAAGTGGTGTATCTTGAAGATTCAACACTGTTAGCATCATATCCCCTTCCTTTTCCCATACTCCTCATCCAGCCCAGTCTCAATCTACCACTGCCCTGTGGTCCATTGGTACTTCTCTACCTAAGCTCAACCTCAGCATGCAGAAGCAGCAGTAGGTGTAACACTTCCCATGAAAATACGGAGGTGGGGGGAGCATGATGGGCAAGTAGAGTAACAGATAGTAGTAGAGCACCATCTAAATCTCAGATATCCCTTTCAGAGTGTGGGATGTAAATACAGGAGAAATGCTAAACACATTGATTCACCATTGTGAAGCAGTTCTGCACTTGCGTTTCAATAACGGCATGATGGTGACCTGCTCCAAAGATCGTTCCATTGCTGTATGGGATATGGCGTCCCCAACTGACATTACCCTCCGGAGGGTGCTGGTTGGACACCGAGCTGCTGTCAATGTTGTAGATTTTGATGACAAGTACATCGTTTCTGCATCTGGGGATAGAACTATAAAGGTAATGAGGCATTTTTCAGTAAATCTTCAACTAAGGATAAGGGAGCTCATATGAAAATTTGATCAAAGACAATTTCATATTTAAATGTCACAGTAGAATAACTTGATTTAGTTCAGATTAGCAATTTTGACTAAATATTTCCTATAAATATTGGTGAGTATGAGAACAGGGATAAATATCAGTTCAAGAAAATAAATCTGCAAGACTGGACTAACTCCATAAATCAACTTGAAGAATCCTCTAATGGTAACAGCCAGCTAAAAATTAACCTTAAGTTACCATGAATTAAACTTGTCTTCTGTTTTGCTTTGTTTGTTTGAAATTTTGGCTTCCTGGATTGGTTCATTCCTGTTTCTTTGTTTCTCCAAGACACCAGTTGCCATATATCTTACCAGTTAACACATCAAATCAACTGCTCAAAGCTATTTTCTGTTTCAGGTATGGAACACAAGTACTTGTGAATTTGTAAGGACCTTAAATGGACACAAACGAGGCATTGCCTGTTTGCAGTACAGAGACAGGCTGGTTGTGAGCGGCTCCTCTGACAACACTATCAGGTGAGTGGCAGGTGCTCTTTCCGAGATGGATCCATATTACCTTCCCACTCATTATTTGGGCATGAATTGTACAGTTTCTTCACCCAGGCTTATGTTTGCACCTTTTCTACCGCTTATTAATGGCTCAAAAGTTTGCCCCAAGTGGAGAGGCAGCACAAGTCAGGCTTTTGTTGGTGTGTTGCCTTCCTGTAATAGTTATATCACCAGGTAAACCTGTTTCAAAGGTACTGCTTGAGTAAGGAAGTAAGGAAGACAGACACGCAGATGGAAGCTGAAGCCTCTCTCGTAAATTTCTCCTGGTGGAGTGGCCATTTGGTGCAGCTGTTAACATGTCACTTGGGATGCCTGCATCCCACATCAGAGTGGTATCCCAGCTCCTCTTCCCATTCCATCTTCTTGTTAATGTGAACTTCCTGATAAATGTGCACCCTGGGAGGCAGTGGTTGATGGCTTAAGTGCTTGGATCCCTCCCACCCATGTGATGGACCTGAATTGAGTTCTGGACTCTCGGCTTCAGCCTCGCCTCGTCCTGGCTGTTATAGGCAATTTAGGGAGTGCATCAGCAATGGAAGATCTCTGTCTGTCTGTCTCCCCAGTAAATAAAATAAATTGTACTAAGTTTTTTCTCTTTGCCATGACTTTTTAAAAAAGAAAGAAAAAGAAGGGGGAAAGGATTTGTTTTCCCATTAGAAATTGTGAGATTTCGTTCTTTTAAAAAATACTTATTTTTTGAAAGGCAGAGCAACAAAGAGAAAGAGAGAGAGCCACTTATGTATCCACTGGTTCGCTCCCCAAATGGCCACAACTGCTGGGACAAAGGCTAAGCCTGGCTAGAGTGAGGAGCCAGGAACTTTATCCCCATCTCCCACATGTGTGGCAGGACCTCAAACACTGGAGCCATCTTCTGCTGCTTTCCCAGGTGCATTAACAGGGAGCTGGATCAGAAGCAGGGCAGCCTGGACTCAGTCTGGCATTCCGAAAAAGGATGCTGGCACTGCAGGCAGCTGCTTATTTATAAGGCAATGTCAGCTTCATGAAGTTTTGTCTTAACATTTCATGACTGACCAGAGTTACCTGTCTTTGAAATCATGAAGATTCCAGGGCCGGCGCTATGGCGTAGCAGATAAAGCCTCCACCTACACTGTCGACATCCCATATGGGCACCGGTTCAGGTCCGCTTGCTCCACTTCCAATCCAGCTCTCTGCTATGGCCTGGGAAAGCAGTGGAAGATGGCCAGTGCTTGGGCCCCTCCCTGCACCCACGTGGGAGACCTGGAAGAAGCTCCAGACTCCTGGCTTCGGCCCGGCTCAGCCCTGTTCTTTGTGGCCATTTGGGGAGTGAATCAGTGGATCGAAGACCTCTCTCTCTCCTCTCTGCCTCTCTAACTCTGCCTTTCAAATAAATAAATCTTTAAAAAAAAAGAAAAAAAGAAATTATGGTGCAGATTACAAAAGTGAATGGTACAGATAGTAAAATATGGAAGAATTTCTCTATCCTCTCCCTTCAGTGAAATATTAAAAGAATGAAAAAAAAATACTAAAAACAAAAAGATCAAGTTACTAACCTCACATTTAAGAAAAGCAGACGGTTTCGGAGTTGAGAGCTGACTGCGTTCCCATGGTATGAGAAAGACTGGCCTGAATGCTGGGTAAAGTTTGCAGTCTCAATGGCAGAAGTGGGGGTGCTTTGTGAGGGCCACATGTCACTGATGCTCTGCGTCACATTCTTATTGGTGATTTTAGGCTGGGTCATTTCCTTCCTGTGTGCATGGAATTCTCATGCAACTGTGTGCATGGAATTCATCCTTTTATATCTGTGAGAACCTGGTTACAGGATTATATAAAGCATTGTGCTTTAAAATGCATACTGTGTTTGAACTTACACATTTTTCTGCCTGAGTTCTGTGGCAGAAAGGAAATAAATTGTGTTGAAAGTGCTGCATTGTTGTATGGGTGGTGATTGATTTCTTTTTGTGGATTTTGAAAAGATGTGTGAAGTGTATTATAACATTCCAGGCTCAGAAAAGAACAGATGGAAATTAATTTGACTCAATGTTCTCTTCCAGATTGTGGGACATAGAATGTGGCGCGTGTTTGCGAGTGTTAGAAGGCCATGAAGAGTTGGTGCGTTGTATTCGGTTTGATAACAAGAGGATAGTCAGCGGGGCCTATGACGGGTGAGTTGCTAACTGGCTTAAATGCACATCTTAATCTTAATGGTTTTCAATGTTAAATAGGACCTTTTCTTGTCTCTCAAAGCTTATAGATGACACAGAAAAGCTTTGATAAAATATTTCTTGTATCTCTATAGTAGTCTCTCCTTGTTTACTGTTTTTCTAAAACATTCTTATCAACATTTTATTGCACTTGTTTGCACATGATATTCATTAATATTTTGGTTATAGATTTGTGTTTCTCTCTTAAGACAAAAGACCAGACAAACTCAGTTGAACAGGATATGCATGTAAAATGATAACTGATTGTAAAATGGAAGCACTGGAGGTCAGTCTTTGAGGCTTAGTGCAATGAGGTCTTGAATTTTGATCTTTCTTACTTTGATCTCTGAATAATTCCTGAAAGTCCAGTTCTCTTGTCATTACTTGTAACATCTCATTTGTAATGAGTTCAGCAATCTTTATTTGCCTCAGCCTGATGGTTAGAGAATCCACTCATGTTGTGAATGGATCCCTAAGAACACTCTACACAGAGTACATTCAGAAGAAAGTACAGTCACTTGTGAAGCGTTCTTTATCATTTCTTCCCATCAAAGTGGCTGATTTCTGGAGGGTAGAAGGCTGCAGTTCAAACGTTGGCAGCTTTGTAAATATCAAAAATTAATTCAGCATAATTTTAGTCCATGAGCTGGCTCTTCTGATGTATTCAGCCAACTGAAGGAACGGAAGTATGACCAACTTATTTCCTCTGTTTTGCGTCAGACATCGCTGTCATACCCTTGGGAAATTGTTCACAGTGCAATGACATATTCCAGCTGGGTCAGAGTTGTATTTTCCCATTGCCCTGGCTTTCATCTGAACTCCCCTCTCTTGGGTTTTGTTTGTTGGATACCTTGAGGATACATGGCCTATAAATGATTTCTAGAAGGGCTAGACTTTGCTTACTAAGATCAAAATTTGTGTTTGCTTCTATAAACCCCAGAGGTGCTACATGTGACCTAGACTGTTCTTTTTTTTTTTTTTTTTTTTTTTTTTTTTGGACAGCGTGGACAGTGAGAGAGAGAGACAGAGAGAAAGGTCTTCCTTTTGCCGTTGGTTCACCCTCCAATGGCCGCCGCGGCCGGTGTACCGCGCTGATCTGATGGCAGGAGCCAGGTACTTATCCTGGTCTCCCATGGGGTGCAGGGCCCAAGCACTTGGGCCATCCTCCACTGCACTCCCGGGCCACAGCAGAGAGCTGGCCTGGAAGAGGGGCAACCGGGACAGAATCCGGCGCCCCGACTGGGACTAGAACCTGGTGTGCCGACGCCCCAAGGTGGAGGTTAGCCTAGTGAGCCACGGCGCCGGCCCCCTAGACCATTCTTAGAACTGGCCGGAAAGAGGATGGCTCAAAGTTGCAGGTTTCTAGGTCTAAGTAACGATGTTAAGTCATTAACATCTAAGTCAGATGTACAAGATCCCCTCTTGACTTCAAATTAAGGCGTAACTTTACCATGAACTATCTTCAGTTGGTTAAAGCTGACCAGATTCTCACTTTTAGGTTAAATAAATACATCTTCCCTTATTAATAACCTTTATCCAAGAATGAAACTTAGCAAGGACTAAGTCTCTAAAACAGTAAATTCATTTATATTCCTGTGAGCTGGATTTTAGCATCTAAACTATACTAACCATTGTATTTATTAAACCATGACTTTTGGTTGCTCTTCCCTGTGTTCCCTTAACTTTTCTTTTAGCTAAAACTTTTGTCCCTTTTTTATCTTTAGGAAAATTAAAGTGTGGGATCTTGTGGCTGCTTTAGATCCCCGTGCTCCTGCAGGAACACTTTGTCTGCGGACCCTTGTGGTAAGAACTTTTTTGTTTGAGGAGGTTGGAGAGCAGGTAGGGCAAGAAACTGAACATTGATGTGCTATTTCCATAGCATGTGTAGACCTGGATTTGATACTTAGAACCCTCAAAATCTACTATTAAGTAGAAATGTAACCGATCCTTGACAATAAAATATGTTGATCTAGTGCCTTTCATCCAAAAGTGCGTTAGAGACTGTATGGGGGAGGAATGTGGCAGCTGTTTAACAGGTGCACAGCAACTCCACGCAACAATTGAACAGGAAGTGAATAAGAATTCTGTTTCCACCAGAAGCAGCAGGGGGTACTAAGGGAGAGAGAATATAATCACTCAGATTGGAACCTGTCCAGAATCTGAGGACCTGCACACCTGTGCGTGCAAAAAGTGCCCTGGGAATCTGTGTGAACTCCCTGGTCAGACCATCAGTCCTGCAGCAACCTGAGTCCCATCTCTTCTGTTCCCTGTACACTTCCTCATCTGACCAGTTTGACACTGGGAAAGGGAGTGAGGCAAAAGGGGGAATGTCACCTTCAAAAGCACTACATTCTTTAACGTGTTGTAAGCCAAGGGCCTGGGTTTGTAAATGCTGCTTCCAAAAGAAAATAGCTAGGCCCGCAGTGTGGACAGAATCGCACATGCCTCAGGGAGGAGACGGGAGCAAGCATTTGAAGCCCAGTGTTCTAAATCCTGAGTCAGCGCTTAGGTGGTCCTGTCTCTGGGGAAGAGAGACATTGCTTTTGTCTCTCCTGTAGGATTTAAAGTTTATTATTTCATCACCAGACATACTTACTTGCATGTTCAACACCTGTCTTTTAAAATACGCACTTTCACTCATTTACAGTTAGTCCAACTAAATCTGGTTTTTGAGCTGTAATTTACATGCAACAAAATTTACCCCTCTTAAAATGTAATTCCATGATATTACAGTTGTGTAACCACCACTACAACCAGAGTATAATACATTTCTATCACCCCCCCATACTTTCATGCCCCTTCGTATTAGCATACACCCCACACTCAGCATACAGCTGTTCACAGATGTCCATCTGATTTCTCTCCCTACAGTTTCACCTTCTTAAAGGCATACTCTGTGTGGCCTTTGGTGTTTGGCTTTTTCACTTCATTTGAGATTTATCCACGTTGTTGCTTGTGTCAGTACTTTTTTATTGCTGAAAAGGATTCCATTGTGTAGATGAATCAGTTTGTTAATTCATTCATCAGTTATGGTTTTAGGGATGTTTCCAGCTTTTGTTGATTTCTGTGCAGGCTTTTCTGTGTCCATACTTGTTTTCATTTCTCTTGGGTGATTATCGAAGAATATTATTTCTGGATCTTCTGGTAAGTGTATATTTAAATTTAAAAGAAACTACCAGATTGTTTCCCAAAGTGGCATTTAGGGACAGCAGTTTGCATTTTCACTGACAATGTGTGAGAGTTCCATTTTTCCATGTCCTTCACAGTACAATTGTCAGTATTTTTAAAAATGACAGGTAGTTGAGTGTGTGGGTAGTGGTATTTCCTTGCAGTTGTAATTTGCATTTATGTGGTAACTAATGATGTTGACCATCTTTTCATGTTTATCTTCTTTTGTATATTATCCGTTCAGATCTTATGAACATTTTATTTATTGAGTTGTTTTTCAAAACAGACTTATTGGAGTATAGTGGCATAAAATAGACACATTGAAATTGTATAACTTAGCAGATTTGATGTATGTCTGCACCAGTGGAACTACAGATAATGAAGATAAAGCTGTGCTCCTGGGTAACCCGTTGTTCCCATCCCACCCCACTCCCCCGACCCTAGTCTCCGGGCTGCCGCTGACCTGCTTTCTGGCCACACTGATTAGTTTTCATTTTCAAGGGTTTCCTAGGAGCAAGTGATGCAGTGTATGCTCTCTTTTGTTCACTAAGCATAATTATTTTGAAATTTGCCAGTGTTGTTGATGTGCACATGTATTCATTCCTCTTTTAAAACTGCTAAGTAGTATTCCCCTGTATGGCTATACCACAATTTATTTAACCATTTTCCAGTTGTTTTCCATTCTTGACTATTACAAGTAAATTTCTTGTAAACATTTACATGCAAGCCTTTAGGGTGAGCATGTGCTTTCATTTCTCTGGGGTAAATACCTAGGAGCAAAATTTTTAATTGTTTTCCATTTTTGGCTATTACAAGTAAAATTTCTAGAAATATTTGTGTGTACAAGTCTTCAAATGAACATATGCTTTTATTTCTCTAGGGTAAACGCCTTGGAGGAAAATGACTAGTTCATATAATAATGAATGTTTTAAAATTTTAAGAAACTGTTGTATTGTTACAGGACAGTAATACATTAGAGTTTCAGTTACTGCACATCCTTGCCAGTACTTAGCACAGTGTTTAAAAATTTTAGTGATTCTGATAAGTATAGGACCAATAATGATATCTCATTCTGATTTTAATTTGAATATATTTATGTGTTTATTTGCCACCTGTATATGTACTTTGTTGCTATAGGTAAAAAAATGTTAAGGTTTTTGGCTCATTTTTTTCAGTTGAGTGGTTTTCATATTATTGAATTTTGTGATTCTTTTGCATATTCTGAATTACAAATGCTTTATCAGGTATGTGATTTGCAAATATTTTCTCCCTGTCCCCGGCTTGATTTATTTTTTTTAATGATTGACTGATTGATTTGAAAGGCAGAGTTACAGAGAGAGGAAGAGACAGAGAAAGAAATCATCCAACCACTGGTCACGCCAAATCGAGGAGCCTGGAACTCCATCTGGGTCTCCTACCTGGGGACAGGGGCCCAAGTACTTGGGTCGTGTTCTGCTGCTTTCTTAGGTGCATTAGCAGGTAGCTGGATGGGATCTGTACCAGCCAGGACTCAAAACCAGTGCTCATACTGGATGCCAGCATTCAGAAGCTTAACCTGTTTAGCCACAGTGCCAGCCCCTGCTGTAAACTCTTAAGGATATGTGTGCGTGTGTGTGTGTGTTCCCAAGGGATGTTGGTCTGTTGCTTCAATTTTATTGTGTCTCTGGTTGGCTATCACAGTAATGTTGGCCTCATAAAATTATTTTGGAAATTTTCCCTCCTCTCTTTGCTGAAAAAATTTGTGTAGTAGTGACTTTGTTATTCTTTAAATGTTTGATAGAATTTACTAGTAAAGCATCTGGGCCTTGAGTTTCTTTGTGGAAAGTTTAATTACAAAATCAACTTACTTAGTAGATAGAGTGCTATTAATATTTAATGTTTCTTCTGGCATTTTTTTTCTTTCGTTCTTTTAAAATTTATTTATTTATTTGAAAGGCAGAGCTACAAAGAGAGAGAGAGAGAGATCTACCACCTGCTGGTTCACTCCCCAGATGGCTGCAATGACTAGAGCTGGGCTGGTCCAAAACCAGGAGCCAAGAGCTTCTTCTGAGTTCCCTGTGTGGGTGGTAGGGGCCCAGGGAGCTGAGCCACCCTCTGCTGCCTTCCCAGGCAAATTAACAGAGAACAGGAGCAGAAGTGGAGCAGCCAAGACTTGAACCAGTGCTCATCTGGGTGACAGCTTTGCAGGCGGTGGGCTTACTCACTATGCCACAGCACTTGTCTTTCAAGTACTTTGGCTGTTTCATCTATCAAATTCACTGGAATAAAGTTACCCATCATAATCTTTTTTAAAAAAATTATTTATTTATTTGAAAGGCAGAATAAAAAAGACAGAGATAGAGAGAGAATCTTCCTTCTGCTGGTTTACTCCCCAAATGGCTGAAACTACCCAGGCTGGGCCAGGCTAACACTAGGGACCAGGAATCCATACAGGTCTCCACATGGGTGACAGTGGCCTAGGTACTTGGACTGTCACCCAATGCTCTCCCAGGCACATTAGCAGGAAGCTGGATCGTAAGCAGAGTAGCCAGGACTTGAACTATTGGCACTCTGATACGGGATGCCAGTGTTGCAAGCAGTGGCCTAACCTGCTGTGCCATAACACCAGCCCCATCACATTAACTGTGGTGTTAGAGTTGTGTCTCTTTTTTGTATTTCATTACTTTTTCTGCTTTTGCTGGTTTCTTAATGTGGAAACATACATGATTGATTTTGGACCTTTCTTTTTAATATAAACATTTGTAACTGTGAAGTTGGCTAGAATTAACTTTCATCACTGCTCTAGTTACATCCCAAAAAATGTCAGTTAAGTCAAGTTGGTTTGTAGTAGTATTCAGTCTTATGAATGCTTGGTGGTTTTCTGTTTGTTTTACCAGCTATGACAGGAGTTTTGGTAGTCCCCACTTACAGACTTCTCTAGTTCTACTTTTAATTCAGACAGCTTTTGCTTCATGTATCTTTAAAAAAAAAGAAAAGAAAGCTATGGACCTTTAAAAAATAAGCAAATAAAAATAAAGGTAGCTGGACTGGCTGAATGAGTGAACAGACCAAGTATAATTTATATAGCAGATACCTCTTAGGTTTTTCTGTTTAAGATTTATTTATGGGGTTTTCCTCTCTTGGATGCCCCCCTCCATGCCGCTCTGACTGGAGGTCCGTGATTCTAATTAATACTTTTAAATCTCTGTGCCATCTGCTTGGAAATTCTTCCATGTGAGATGAAAACTGAGATAACTTTCTCTGCCGCCATTTTCCCGTAACATTTTTTGGTACCGTGACTCGGATTGCAGCTCCAACATGATGTGGATCCAACGTCGGATCAACCCGCCAGACTGATCAAGTCTCAGCTGCTCAACTTCTGATTCAACTCTGCTATGGCCTGAGAAAGCAGTAGAAGATGGCCCAAGTCTTTGGGACCCTGCACTCATGTGGGAGACCCAGAGGAAGCTTCTGGCTCCTGGCTTCAGACTGGCACAGCTCTGGCCATTGGTGGCCATCTGGGGAGTGAACCAACGGATGGAAGATACCCCCTCTCCCGCCTCTGCCTCTCTGTAACTCTGCCTTTCAAATAAATAAATAAATAAATCTTTTTTAAAAAAAGAGAAAAAGAATCTTCCATCCACTGGTTCACTCCC